TGTAGATCAGGCTGGCCTGAAACTCATAGATACCCACCTGCCTCTGCCTCCAAGTGCTGGCATGCGCCACTATACCTGGCTTTATGTCCTCTCCTCTTTTTTTTTTTTTTTTTTTTTTGGGTCTTTTTGAGACAGGGTCTCCCTGTAGCCCCAGCTGTCCTGGAACTCACTATGTAGACCAGGCTGGCCTTGAACTCACAGAGATCCGCCTGCCTCTGCCTCCCAAGTGCTGGTATTAAAGGTGTGCACCCCCACACCCGGCCTTTTTTTTTTTTTCTTTTTTTAATCTTTTCGAAACAGGTTCTCTCTGTGGCCCAGCTGGCCTGGAACTCACCATGTAGACCAGGCTGGCCTTGAACTCACAGAGATCTGCCTGCCTCTGCCTCTCAGGTGCTGGGATTAAAGGCATGTGCCCCCACATCCAGCCGCTTTATGTCCTTTTTAAAGACTGTGAGCTAACATCTGTCCGGAACTCCAGTTCTAGGGGATCTGACACCCTCTTCTGACCTCTGCAGGCATTGTACAACATGGATGTACTCACATACATGCAGGCAATACACTCATACACATTAAATTTTTTAAAGAATTAAAAACAAAATAAAGCCAGGTGTGGTGGTGCATGCCTTTACTCCCAGCACTCAGGAGTCAGAGGCAGGCAGATCTCTGTGAGTTCAAGGCCAGCCTGGTCTACATAGTGAGTTCCAGGACAGCTCTGGCTACAGAGAGACCCCTGTCTCAAAAAAAGACCAAAAAAAAAAAAAAAAAAACCCAAAAAAACAAAAAATAACCCATCTGCTCCAGTTTGTGCTGCCCATGTCCCTCTGGGTGTGGGACCATGCACTGGAGCATGGTTGACCTTTTGTGCTGCCCATGTGTGGGACCATGCACTGGAACATGGTTGACCTACCAGGAGCCACATCTTTAAAGAAAAAAGACCCTCTCTCCCCCAGAAACCAATTGTCCATGAACCTCTTCCGACTCTATGCTAGAATGTTGATTGGCTTGATCTTGTGCAGGTCCTGTGCAGGCAACCACAGTTGCCATGAATTCACAAGTGCAGTGGTCCTTGTCATGTGCAGAAGACACTGTTTCACTCTGGTCCTTCCCAACCTCTGGCACTTATAATCTTTCTACCCACTCTTCCTTGATGGTTCCTGAACCCTGGAGGATTTAATTTAAAAAAACAAAAAACAAAAAACGGGACCAGCAAAGTGGCTTAGCAGGTAAAGACCCTTGCCACCAAGCCCAATGACCTGAGCTTGATCCCCAGGACCTACACAGTGAAAGGAGAAAACTAACTCCTGCAAGTTGTCCTCTAACCTCCACACACATACCATGGCATATGCACACATGCATGTGCACACACACAAATAAATAAATGTAATTTTTAAATTCCAAAAAAATCTAAACAAAAGTGATTTCCCACTGAGATACTTTCCATTACTGTGATAAAACATTGACCAGCGCCCACATAGCAGCTAACAACTGTCTGTAACTCCAGTTCCAAGGGAATCTGATGCCCTCTTCTGACCTCCTAAATGTAGAGGTGAGGCTGAGGTTACAGCTCAGTGGTAGGGGTTGGCAAAATTCTGAATTTGATCCATAGCATCATTGAAAAAAAAAAAAAAAAAAGAAAAACCAGGCATGGTGGCACATGCTTATGATTCCAGGACTTGGAGGTATAGGTAGGAAGATCAACAGTTCAAGTCCATCCAGCCTGAGCTACATGACACCCTGTCTCAAAAAAAAAAAAAAAAAAAAAAAAAAAAAAAAAAAGGCAAATGGGGATCATAACTTTGCCTACCCTGAGAGGTTATTGGAAGAACACAAAGGTACAGGTAAAACATATGTGTAACTGCTTCTCTGTCTGTCTTCTGGGCACACAAGTGTCTTCATAGATGTTACTTGAGGATGAATACCTTCCAAATACTATGAATGGAGGACTTTTGTTCTGGGTGATCTAGGTCTTTTTGAATTGCTGGAAGAAACAGATCTGATGGGGCTGGAGAGATAGAAGGCTCAGCAGTTAAGAGCACTGGCTGTTCTTACAGAAGACCTGGGTTCAATTCCCAGCACCCACATGGTGGCTTAGTAACCACCCGTAACTCCAGTTCCAGGGGACCTGACATCTTCTTCTGGGCTTTGCAGGCATTGCGGAACATGGGTGTACTTAAGCACATGCAAGCAAAATACTCAGATATAAAATAAAAATATTAAATAAAAATATATATAAAAGAAACAGGCCAGGGGGCTGGAGAGATGGCTCAGCGGTTAAGAGAACTGGTTGTTCTTGAAGAAGATCCAGGTTCGAATCCCAGCACCCACATGGCAGCTAACAACTCTTCGTAACTCTAGTTACAGGATCCGACAGCCTCTTCTGTCCTCTGAGGGCATTGCATGACACGGGTGTGCTTACCTACATGCACATAAAATAAAAATAATAAAATATTTTTTAAAAAGGAGAAGGAAGCCAGGCATGGTGGCGCACTCGGGAGGCAGAGGCAGGCAGATCTCTGTGAGTTCAAGGCCAGCCTGGTCTACATAGTGAGGTCCAGGACAGCTGTGGCTACAGGGAGACCCTGTCTCAAAAAGACCCGGGGGAGGCGGGGGGAGCTGGGCATGGTGGCACATGCCTTTAATCCCAGCACTTGGGAGGCAGGAGGAGGAAGAGGAGGAGAAAAATATCTTTCAACAGGTTCAGTGGCTGGTGATTGTAATTCTGGCACTTGGAAGGCTGAGGCAGGAGGATCACCATGAGTTCAAGGCCAGCTTTGGCTACATAGTGAGTTCCAGGCTATAGAGTGAGACTTTGTCTCAACAAAAACCAATAAAAACAAACAAACAGAAATTCTCTTAAGCTGGAGACATACCTTAGTGGTAGAGCACTTTCCCTGAAAGGTCAAGGTCTTAGGTTCAATACGCAGTACCACAGGAAAAAAACAACCAAACCCAACAAACAAAAACCTTAGTAGATATTTATGAAAAATAAGTTCTACAATAAAATATTCTAAACTTTATGTATACTATACATAAAATTTACCATTTACCATTTATTTTATTTTTTTAAGGATTTAAAAATTTGTGCAAGTGTTTTGATGGCCAATATGTTTACTAGTGTGTATGTAATGCCTGTGAAGACCAGAGGAGAGCAACACAGCAGAGTCACCATGTGGGTGCTGGGAGTTGAACCCCAGTCCTCTGGAGGAACAGCAAGTGTTCTTATCCCCTAAGCTGGCTCCCCAGCCCCCAAATTTACCATTTTAAATATACAATCAATAGTTTTTAGTGAGTTCACCGAATTGCACAATCATTACCATAATCCAGTTTTAGAACACTTTCATCACTACAATAAACTGTCCTTTTACAGTTAATTCCTGATACTACCTCCACAAATGGCCTTTTAAATGCTTAATACATTAATTATTCTTTCTGTTGTGTAAAGCCATGAACTCTTACTGTAGAAAATTCCTGGGGTAGGGGAGTCAGAAAAATACAAAGAGGAAAAAATAAAGTCACCCTAAACCCATAATCCAATGGATTCATTCTTATTAGGTAAATACTTTTCTAACCTTTTTCTCTATTAATTTTTTAAAGAAAATTATATTGCCTTGTCCATAATATTATCCAATCTGGCTTTTGATGCAGCACATCATGAAAATACCTCTATAGCATCAAATTTTCTTCCACATCACTATTTTCAGTGGTTGTGTGGTAAGTATTCCATTGTGTTGTTTTACCATAGTTTCTTTATTTGATCCCCTATTGCTGGACATTTGATTGTTTCTAACTTTTCAAAGAGTTTTTAATTTTTATTTTTAAAATATTTTAAAATCACATTTATTTATCTGTATGTGTGTGTATGTGTGCATTCACATTACAGCATGTGTAGAGGTCAGAGGACAACTTGTGGGAGTTCATTTCCTCCTTCTATCGTGTGGAAATTCAGGGATGGAACCATGGTCATCAGGGCCTTCAGCCTTGGCAGTAAGCATCTTTACTCTCTGAGCTATCTCATTCTCCCAATTTATTTATTTAGGGTGCTGAGATCCAACCTGGCCTATACACACACACACACACACACACACACACACACACATACACACACACACACACACATTAATTATTCTTTCTGTTGTGAAAAGTTATGAACTCTTATTGTAGATAATTCTCGGGGTGGAGGAGTCAGAAGAGAACAAAGAGAAAAATAAAGTCACCTAAATCCATAATTCAATAGAACAATTTTTTAAATTTTATTTATTTTTTATTTTATGTGTATGCATATATTGCCTGCATGTAGGTAAGTGCACCTGTGTTGTGCAATGCCCGTGGAGGTCAGAAGAGACTGTCAGATCCCCTGGAACTGGAGTTATGGACAGTTGGTAGCTGCCATGTGGGTGCTGGGATTCGAACCTGGGTCTTCTCAAGAGCAGTAAGAGTTCTTAACAGCGAGTCATCTCTTCTGCCCCTTGTAACATTAAAACATTTATTTATTTATTTCTTATTTTAATTTATTGTGTGTAGTGCATTCATGTGAGTGTGAGGGCTTGAATGCTCCTGCCCACAGATGCAGAAGCCAGAGGTAGACACGGGGTGTCTTCTATGACTCTCTGCCTTACTACCCTGAGTGACGATCTCTCAGTGAACCAGAAACTCACTGTTTCAGCTAGCCTGACTGGCCAGGAAGCCCCCAGAATCTGCCTGTCTCTGGTTCTTCAATGCTCAGGTAACAAAGACACACATACAACCAAGCCTGGATCTTTATGTTGGTGCTGGGGGTTCAAACCCAGGTCCTCATGCTTGCATAGCAAGCACTTTGACTCACTGAGGAATCTCTCCAGAGCCTTACCTTGTAACATCTTAGAACTAATTCACTAGCAAGAAGCATGTATATTTTTTAAACCACTGCTCAGTTCTGGTTTGGTCATGAGGATGGATCCCAGGGCATCATACATGCTAGGCAAGCATTCTATCATTAAGCTGCACCTTCAACCCTTTTAAAGTTTTTTTTTTTTTTTTTTTTTTAAAGGCTTTTGACCCAGTGAGGGACACCACCATGGGACCCAACTGTCCCAGAAGGCCCAGGGAAGGTCCAGTTCAAGGGGGGATACAGAAGCGGGGTGCTACCAGGTCCTGAAGATGGTCGGGGGAGTTCTCTGGAAACTAGAGGAACACTCTAGTCCTGTCCCTGCACCTTCCTCCCCATCAGCTACAGGCACTGTGGGCAGCACACCTGAGCATCTCCTTCCTTGATGCCTTCCTGTGTGTCTTGATGCTCTTCCCAAGCAAGCTGGATGCCAGTTCCTGGGACCAGCCAACTGACCCCTGCTTCACCTACACATCCCTGACTGGGTCAGCTTCATTGCCAAATCTGGACCCTGCTACTCCAAGCGTCCAGTCTCCAAGGTTTGAGGACCTGCTGGGCTAGGTTTGGGGAGGCGGGTGTTGGATGAGGCTTAGAGAATTGAGCTGAAAGTGTTCTCAAAGAGATCTTGCAATGACTCACATGCCACCCGAAGACAGAGAGGGGCTAGGGGATGAATGGATTGTAAGTCAAAAGGAGGGGCGGAGGAGAGGGCCTCCTGTGCTTTGATTGGCCCGCGTCAGTTTCTTCCGAACATCTGCAGTGCGTGGGGCTAAGCGGTCCCACCGGGGGTGGGGGTAGGCCTGTGAGGCTGGCTGACGTTCGCTTCCCGCCTGCTGGGCCAGCCCGGAGCAGTTCATGAATGACTCACCACATTGTCAGGCTGATTCACTGCTCGGCTGGGGACTTGGAGGAGGGAGGGAGCAGCTCTCTCTGTACGTCTTCCACGAGCAGCGCACACACGCATATACGCGTGGGTGGGGCTCCAGCAGGGATCCTTAGATGCTGGGGTCGAGTTTTCCGTGGTAATGGGAAGAAGATCCGAATCACCTGGTGCACGGGGGACAACCTTGGAATTTCTGTCTACCGGTGTCCCTGTGGCTATTTCCATTAAAATAATTAAACACCATTAGATCTTGTGTTCATTAGTCACACTAGCCACATTTCAAGTGCTCAATAGCCATCCGGGGCTAATGGCTTCCCGGACAGTACATTTGCATCAACATAGAAAGTTCTGGGCTGGAGAGATGGCTCAGAAGTTAAGAACACTGGTTGTTCTAGCAGAAGACCAGGGTCTAAATCCCAGCACCCACATGGCAGCTAACAACTGTCCATAACTCCAGTCCCAGAGGATCTGACAGTCTCTTCTGACCTCCGCAGGCATTGCTCGACACAGGTACACTTACCTACATGCAGGCAATACACGAATACACATAAAATAAAATTTAAAAATTAAAAATAAAAAAAAAACATAGAAAGCCGGGTGTGGTGGCACATGCCTTTAATCCTAGCACTTGGGAGGCAGAGGCAGGTGGATCTTTGTGAGTTGGAGGCCAGCCTGGTCTACATAATGAGTTCCAGGATAGCTGTGGCTACAGAGAGACCCTGTCTCAAAAAGACAAAAAAAAAAAACACAAAAAACAGAAAGTTCTACTGCACAGCTGGTTTATATACACTGAGTGCATACTAACTCTGAATCTATCACCTTCACACACAATGACACAAATAGATCAGCCCTTCTCCCAGCCCCATATGCAGCACACAACACACACTGAATTCCACACACACATTCAACATGCAACACCTCCCACCAACACAACACAAGAGCCTGTATACATATTTTCTGTCCAAATCCTCTACTGTCCATAACACGGCAAATGTAAATATAAACACATACCTCATCAAACCAGTTCCTAAACAACTGTTCATAAGATAAAAACTTGAATTAGGGTGAAATGCATTTGCAAACATGCCAAAATAGACACAAACCCAAGCCGTGTGGGTCCCATAACAATTCCCTGCACATGTTTGCAAACTCAAGTAGGGGGGAAGGGAACCCACATTTGTTCAGGCCCTGCCAACTTGCCAGGCATGGAGTTAGCCACATCAATGAAATTCATTTAATCTCACAGCAACCCTGAGAGGATGCAGAATCCTGTTTCCTTAGATGAAGCAATGAAGGTTCTGATAAAGTAACTTACTCAAGGATACACAGACACAGCAGGAGAGTCAAATATAAGCCAATATTTTTCTAACTCCATAGCAAATGCAACAAGCTGTTTTCAATACTTCCCTACTCCGTGTGTGTGTGTGTGTGTGTGTGTGTGTGTGTGTGTCTTTTGTACCTAACTGGGTACAAACACTTATTCAGTGTCTCTGACATGCCAAGTACTGGTTCACAAAATGTGAACAGCTTCAAGAGCCAGGCATGGTGGCACACACATGTAATTCCAGTACTTTGGAAGGCTAAAGCAGGTGGATTGCTGCAAATGCAAATTCAAGGACTGCCTGGGATATACAGTAAGATTTTGTTTTAACTCTTCCTCCCTCTCTAAAAAAGAAAATTCGCAAGTCCTGGCTAAAAGAAGCACATAGCCCATTAGGGAGTAGAGGGGAACCCCCAAAATAGTGCATACAATAGACTTTAACTACAGTGGAGGTAGGCCCCAAATGCAGGGAACTGAGAGTAAGGAAACTTAGGTTTGCCCAGGAAGTTAAAGAAAGCTGCTTGGGAACCAAGCATGACGGTGTATTCTTTTAATCCCAGCACTCAGGAGGCAAAAGCAGGTGGATCTCTGTGAGTTTGAGGCCAGCCTGCTCTATATAGTGAGTTCTTTTTTAAAAAAATATTTTATTTATTATTTTTATGTGTATGCGTGTATTGCCTGCATGTAGGTAAGTGCACCCATGTTGTGCAGTGCCCACAGAGGACAGAAGAGACTGTCGGATCCCCTGGAACTGGAATTACAGATAGTTGTTAGCTGCCATGTGGGTGCTGGGATTCAAACCCAGGCCTTCTTTTAGAACAGTTAGTATTCTTATCCGCTGAGCCATCTCTCCAGCCCCTATAGTGAGTTCTAAGCCAGCTAGGGCTACACAGTAAGACCCTGTCTCAAAAAAAATAAAGGCTTGTTAGATGAAGCAACTGTGAGCTCATTAAAGAACGTGTGTGGTAGTTCAGGATGGGTGTTGACAGACAGGAAAAGATGGGGAGGCAGGCAAGTGCCTGACATTGAGCTCCCACCCTGAAGAATTTATTTAAAATTTTTGTTTTTATTTTATGTGTATGAGTGTATTATTGCTTCCATGTGTGTAAGTACACCCATGTCATGCAGTGCCCGAGGAGGACAGAAGGGGGCATCAGATCCCCTGGAACTGGAGTTATGGACGGTTGTTAGCAGCCATGTGGGTGCTGGGATTTGAGCTCAGGTCTTCTGCAAGAACAGCCAGTGTTCTTAACCACTAAGCCATCTCTCCAGCCATCCCTGAAGAATTTTTACAGCAGAAAAATATGGATGTTAAGGGGAAAAAGAGAAAAAAAAATGGATGTTGTGATTGAATTCTAGAAAGACAGGCCTGAGAGCTTGGGGTGTAGCTCAGTGGTAGAACATTATCTTAGCATGTACACAACCCTTCGTTCCATCTCTGTCACACATACACACCCTTAGAAACTAGGTGGACCATGCGGGAGGTACTATAATGCGGCCAAGCAGAAGCTGTAGGGTTAAGTCTGACTTGAGAAGACTGAAGGATTGGGGCAGGGGAGAGAGAGGGTGTATCCTGTTCCTCAGAGTACAGCAAAAGCCTTTTGACCCATAAAAATATGATGAAAGTGATGGAGTCTCCCTCAGAACAAGGCACATGTACATAGGCACATGATGTTTTGCACATAATTATAGGGGGCTTGTGTTCCCTGAAGCCTCGGGTTAAGAACTCAGTTCCTTGGAATTCTAAGAAGCAAAATGACATAGTAGTTAAGTTGCATATGCTGAAGTTTGACTGCCTGGTTCATAATCTCTCAACTCTCCCTCCTCTTAGTTATGTGAGTTGAACAATACCTTGCACACACAGAGTACTCCAAAAGTTGTGGCTGTTATTATTACATATTGCTACAGAGACCCTTCCCACTATACTTACACTTTGGCACCCCTCTTCATCTAGTGTCTCTGGCTTAGGTCTTCCAGCTCAAGTGCTTACATCCAATTTTTCCATTTTCTGAACTCACTCATTCCTTTTCCATCTGAGTTTCCATTATACTCAAACCCAGTTATTAAAGAGTTCAGCATTCTCTCTCTTTCTCTCTCCTTCCCTTCCTCTCTTCCCCCCTCTTCCCTCCCCTCTTCCCTTCCTTCCATTCTTTCCTTCCTTGACAAGGTCTCCTAGCTAAGGCTGGCCTGGAACTCTCACTTCTTCTGCCTCAACATCCTAAGTGCTGGGATTACATGCCTGCATCTCCATACCCAACTACCACCCTCTTTTCTAACAGAAAGAACAGGCTTTAAGCATAATCACTAAGAAGACCCCATCTTTTTCGTTATTTTAGATGAAAAAAATGGAGACATTGGATTTGGAGGGACCTTTGGTGAGGGTGTGAGAGTGAAGGATGGGAAGTCCTTGACAACTCTAAATCACATACAATCTCCTCACTATATCTTCCCAGTCTCTCTCTAAATTGTTCCATCTTGGGGGCTGAAGAGAGGGCTCAGCAGTTAAGAGCACTGGCTGCTCTTGCAGAGGACCTGGGTTTGATTCCCAGCACCCAAATGGCAGCTAACAACCATCTGTACCTCCAGTTCCAGGAGAATATGATGCCCTCTTCAGGCATTGCATGACATAGGTGCACTTACATACATGTAGGCAATACAGTCATACACATAAAATAAAAACAATACGTAAAATATTTTTAAAGAAGCAAAGTAAAATTTTCATTTGG